CTAGATTTATTTATTTATTACAGGTACTTTCATAGCAACATCAATTTACGCCGCGCTTTACATGTGTGTGTATATATATATACAGTGCAGGAAATGTGTATTTGCTCCCCTCTGATGCTGAATGTTGGCCCCTCACACAGAAACGATCGGTCTAACAATGGAATGTTCGCCCCTCACACAGAAACGATCGGTCTAACACATGGAATGTTCGCCCCTCACACAGAAACGATCGGTCTAACAATGGAATGTTCGCCCCTCACACAGAAACGATCGGTCTAACAATGGAATGTTCGCCCCCTCACACAGAAACGATCGGTCTAACAATGGAATGTTCGCCCCTCACACAGAAATGATCGGTCTAACAATGGAATGTTCGCCCCTCACACAGAAATGATCGGTCTAACAATGGAATGTTCGGTGTAACACTGAGAGACAGAATACAACAACAAATTCAGCAGAAATGCGTCTAACAATGATGACGGATCTGCATGTTCATGAGGGAAAGAAGGATTTGATCCCCTATCATTCAGCAGGATTTCTGGCTCCCAGGTGTCTCTCATACAGGTAACAAGCTGAGATTAGAAGTCTCTTAAAGGGATGTGCTGCTAATCTCATTGTGTTACCTGTATAAAAGACACCTGTCCACAGGAGCAATCAAACCATCAGATTCCAAACTCTCCACCATGGCAAAGACCAAAGAGCTGTCCAAGGATGTCAGGGACAAGATGGATAGACCTACACAAGGCTGGGCTACCAAACTATGGCCAAGCAGCTTGGTGAGAAGGTGACAACAGTTGGTGCAATCATTCACAAATGGAAGAAACACAAAACAAGTGTCAGTCTCCCTAGTCTGGTGAAACCGATCGTTTCTGTGTGAGGGGCAAACATTCCATTGTTAGACCGATCGTTTCTGTGTGAGGGGCGAACATTCCATTGTTAGACCAATCGTTTCTGTGTGAGGGGCGAACATTCAACATCAGCAGGGGGCAAATACACATTTCCTTCACTGTATATACTGCTGAAAAGGGAAGACTCTGAGAACCCATCAGGTCTCAATGGGGAGGAATTTCCTGCTGGATCTCTGTACTGACATGGATGGGGGATGGGTGAGGAACGTAAGGATGCCCCATCATTTGATGGAAATGGAAATAATTGACCTACAGAGGACTGAATTCAAAGACACCCCGAAAATCAAAGTGAAGAAATGATGCAGCAGGCGAGTCCATTTGGCTGAAATGTCATTGCAGCAACTCAGAATGGTCCTCAGCAGTCTGTGTGGCCCCCACGTGCTTGTATGCATGCCTGACAATGTCGGGGGGACGGTATCAATTCCTTCATCCTCCAGGAACTGCCTGCATACTCTCCCCACATGAGGCTGGACATTGTTGTGCACCAGGAGGAACCCCCAGGATCCACTGCACCAGGAGGAGCCCAGGACCCACTGCACCAGGAGGAACCCAGGACCCACTGCACCAGCGTAGAGTCTGACAATGGGTCCAAAGGATTTCACCCGATACCTAATGGCAGTCAGGGGTCCATTGTCTAGCCTGTAGAGGTCTGTGTGTCCCTCCATGGATATGCCTCCCCAGACCATCACTGACCCACCACCACAACGGTCATGCTGAACCATGTTACAGGCAGCAGAACGTTCTCCACGGCTTCTCCAGACCCTTTCACGTCTGTCACATGTGCTCAGGGGGAACCTGCTCTCATCTGTGAAAAGCACAGGGTGCCAGTGGTGGACCTGCCATTCTGGGGTTCAATGGCAAATGCCAATCCAGCTCTATGGTGCCGGGCAGTGAGCACAGGGCCCACTAGAGAGCGGATATAGTGAATGCGGGGTCCGGGGAGAGCGGATATAGTGAATGCTGGGTCCGGGGAGAGCGGATATAGTGAATGCGGGGTCCGGGGAGAGCGGATATAGTGAATGCGGGGTCCGGGGAGAGAGGATATAGTGAATGCGGGGTCCGGGGAAGCGGATATATAGTGAATGAGGGGTCCGGGAGGAGCGGATATAGTGAATGCGGGGTCCGGGGAGAGCGTATATAGTGAATGCGGGTCCGGGGAGAGCAAATATAGTGAATCTGGGGTCCGGGGAGAGCGAATATAGTGAATGCGGGGTCCGGGGAAAGCGGGATATAGTGAATGCGGGTCCGGGGAGAGAGAGGATATAGTGAATGCGGGGTCCGGGGAGAGCGGATATAGTGTATGCGGGGTCCGGGGAGAGCGGATATAGTGAATGCGGGTCCGGGGAGAGCGGATATAGTGAATGCGGGGTCCGGGGAAAGCGGATATAGTGAATGCGGGTCCGGGGAGAGAGATATAGTGAATGCGGGGTCCGGGGAGAGCGGATATAGTGTATGCGGGGTCCGGGGAGAGCGGATATAGTGAATGCGGGGTCCGGGGAGAGCGGATATAGTGAATGCGGGGTCCGGGGAGAGCGGATATAGTGAATGCGGGGTCCGGGGAGAGCGGATATAGTGAATGCGGGGTCCGGGGAGAGCGGATATAGTGAATGCTGGGTCCGGGAGAGCGGATATAGTGAATGCAGGGTCCACCCCTTTCTCCTTTTTTTCACCCTCCCATCTTTCTCCCTTTCCTTCATTTCCATTTCCTTTCTTCCTTCCTTCATTGTGCATAAAACATTTAACAGTGCCATTTCATGATATAATTTACGCGTTGCATGTTTAGGAGCGGAGTTTAGGGGCGGGGCAGGGTAGGGGTTGTGTGGGCAATTGGTGGCGAGTAACTCTTAAGTCCTGCCTATCAGCTGTCAGGGCTCCCGGGTGTGACCAGAGGTATGTGACTGACGCAGGGAAACGCAGACTTCAGATATGTTATAAACAATATAATTTATTAACACTAACAATACAAACATAAACGCAGTGCAATACTAAAACATAACACTGTGCAAACAAACCAAACCACCCACAGATAACAGTACATACAATGCAAGCGTCGTCAGGCAGGCCGGGTCAATATCAATCGGGCAGGTAGGTACAGGGGGAGCAAGCGGAGAATGGCGGGTCACAGGCCAGGTTCAGCAGGTAGCGGGCAGCGTGGTACAGAGGGTCAGCAGAGGGATGGTCAGGGTCACAAGTCAGGGATCAAAACAGGAGAAGTCAGCAGAAGTCAGATCAGGCAGGGTCAGCGACAGGAACAGGAACAGGAACAGGAAACGCAGGTTTACAAGATACAGGGCCCAGGAAAAACACACACCAAGGCAGAGTCTGCAGGTCTGGCCATCCCTTAAATACACCATGTAAACAGTTTCAGGTGTTTAGCTGGCTGCAAGGTTGAGTCTCTGATTGCTGGGAGCACCCCGCTGGCCAGCCCCGGTACTGCAGCCCATAAGGCAGATGAGTCCCACCATTGCTGGCCAGTCCATTCCTGACAGTACCCTCCCCTCAAGGAGCGCCTCAGGATGCTCCAAACAGTCCTAGCTGGGCAAAATGTTTCCACCGCCCGGTCTGGTAACTGGCGGGATATCAAAGACTGGCACACCGGGCAGGACTCCGGGCAGCGGCACACCGGGGGGCAGCGGCACACTGGGCAGCGGCACATCGGGCTGGACTCCCGGGCAGCGGCACATCGGGCTGGACTCCGGGCAGCGGCACATCGGGCTGGGCTCCGGGCAGAGGCACACCGGGCAGGACTCCGGGCAAGGCACATCGGGCAGGACTCCGGGCAGAGGCACATCGGGCAGGACTCCGGGCAGAGGCACATCGGGCAGGACTCCGGGCAGAGGCACATCGGGCAGGACTCCGGGCAGAGGCACATCGGGCAGGACTCCGGGCAAGGCACATCGGGCTGGACTCCGGGCAGAGGCACATCGGGGCTGGACTCCGGCAGAGGCACATCGGCTGGGACTCCGGGCAGAGGCACATCGGATCACCAGGCGAAGCAGCAGGCAGCGGGCCACCAGGTGGAGCAAGCAGGCCCCGGGCCCCCAGGCAGAGCAGCAGGCCCCGGGCCCCCAGGCGGAGCGACAGGCACCGGGCCCCCCAGGCGGGGCAACAGGCACCGGGCCCCCAGGCGGGGCGGCGACAGCGCTGGGCCCCCAGGTGGAGCGGCGGGCGCCGGGCCCCCAGGCGGGGCGACAGGCATCGGGCCCCCAAGCGGGGCAACAGGCATCGGGCCCCCAGGCGGGGCAACAGGCATCGGGCCCCCAGAGGGGCGACAGGCATCGGGCCCCCAGGAGGGGCAACAGGCATCGAGCCCCAGGTGGAGCGGCGGGCGCCGGACCCCCAGGCGGAGCGACAGGTCTCCGGGCCCCCAGGCGGGCGCCGGACCCCAGGCGGAGCGACAGATCTCGGGCCCCCAGGCGGAGCGACAGGTCTCAGGCCCCCAGGCGGAGCGGCGGGCGCTGGACCCCCAGGCGGAGCGACAGGTCCTGGGCCCCCAGGCGGAGCGGCGGGCACCGAGTCACCAGGCCACGACAGTGGGCTCCGAGTCAACTGGCATGACCGCTGGCACTGGGTCAGACATTGGATCGTCTGGCTGGACAGCGGGGCATCGGGTCACCAGGTATGACAGCGACACTGGGTCACCAGGCATCAGGTCATGTGGCTCGCCAGTGGCACACCCTGCGTCATCTGGCACCGAGTCACCAGGCACGACAGTGGGTTCCGAGTCAACTGGCAAGACTGCGCGGCACCGAGTCAACTGGCAAGACTGCGGGCACCGAGCCAACTGGCGGAACAGCGGGCTTCGAGTCGTCTGGCAAGACTGCGGGCACCGAGTCGTCTGGCAAGACTGCGGGCACCGATCGTCTGCAAGACTGCGGGCACCGAGTCGTCTGGCAAAGACTGCGGGCACCGAGTCGTCTGGCAAGACTGCGGCACCGAGTCGTCTGGCGGAACAGCGGGCACCGAAGTCGTCTGGCAAGACTGCGCGGCACCGAGTCGTCTGGCAAGACTGCGGGCACCGAGTCACCTGGCGGAACAGCGGGCATCGAGTCAACTGGCGGAACAGCGGGCTTCGAGTCGTCTGGCAAGGCTGCGGGCACCGAGTCGTCTGGCAAGACTGCGGGCACCGAGTCATCTGGCAAGACTGCGGGCACCGAGTCGTCTGGCGGAACAGCGGGCATCGAGTCAACTGGCGGAACAGCGGGCACTGAGTCGTCTGGCAAGACTGCGGGCACCGAGTCGTCTGGCAAGACTGCGGGCACCGAGTCGTCTGGCAAGACTGCGGGCACCGAGTCGTCTGGCAAGACTGCGGCACCGAGTCGTCTGGCAAGACTGTGGGCACCGAGTCGTCTGGCATTGGATCGTCTGGCTCGACAGCGGGCATCGGGTCACCAGGTATGACGCGGGCACTGGGTCACCAGGCATCAGGTCATTTGGCTTGCCAGCGGGCACCGCGTCATCTGGCAAGGCAGTGGGCACCGAGTCACCAGGTACGACAGCGGGCTCTGAGTCAATTGGCACGACAGCGGGCACCGGATCAGGTACCGGATCATCTGGATTGCAACAGCGGGCATCGAGTCAACTGGCCTAATAGGATCATCAGCTGGATCAGTTCATTATGCTGGGTAGAGGCATCAGCTGAGTAGAGGCATTCGCCTGAGTAGAGGCATCAGGCTGAGTAGGCATCAGGCTGAGTAGAGGCATCAGGCTGAGTAGAGGCTTCAGGCTGAGTAGAGGCTTCAGGCTGAGTAGAGGCTTCAGGCTGAGTAGAGGCTTCAGGCTGAGTAGAGGCATCAGGCTGAGTAGAGGCTTCAGGCTGAGTAGAGGCATCAGGCTGAGTAGAGGCATCAGGCTGGGTAACAGACATCAGGCTGAGTAGAGGCATCAGGCTGGGTACAGGCATCAGGCTGAGTAGAGGCATCAGGCTGAGTAGAGGCATCAGGCTGAGTAGAGGCTTCAGGCTGAGTAGAGGCTTCAGGCTGAATAGAGGCATCAGGCTGAGTAGAGGCTTCAGGCTGAATAGAGGCATCAGGCTGGGTACAGACATCAGGCTGAGTAGAGGCATCAGGCTGAATAGAGGCATCAGGCTGAGTAGAGGCATCAGGCTGAGTAGAGGCATCAGGCTGAGTAGAGGCTTCAGGCTGAGTAGAGGCATCAGGCTGAGTAGAGGCATCAGGCTGAGTAGAGGCTTCAGGCTGAAGAGAGGCATCAGGCTGAGTAGAGGCATCAGGCTGGGGTACAGACATCAGGCTGAGTAGAGGCATCAGGCTGAGTAGAGGCATCAGGCTGAGTAGAGACATCAGGCTGAGTAGAGGCATCAGGCTGAGTAGAGACATCAGGCTGAGTAGAGGCTTCAGGCTGAGTAGAGGCATCAGGCTGAGTAGAGGCATCAGGCTGAGTAGAGGCTTCAGGCTGAACCACGGAAGGCAGGTTCTCAGACGGCAGGTTCACCGGTTTGGATACTGGCAGGATGGTATTGGTTGGAAAGAATTTTCGCTTTTTTCTGGTTTTAACTACTGGAGCACTGCAAGTAAACGCAGGTCTGCAAACGACTGGAGCAGCTGGAGACAGAGAGAGCTGGAGGATGGAACAGAGGAGGGAGCAGTTGCTACAGAGGACTTCTTACAGGGTTAAAGGCAGGATAGGTGCAGCGAGTGGGAGCAGAGGACTGACATGCGGTAGATAGCAGGGCAGGAGGAGCTGTTGGGAATACAGGAGTAGAGCTTTGAGGAAATAGATTAGAAGCAGGACGGGGTCTTTGTAAGCTGACTGAGGCTGGGTGCAACAAGTCTGTCCATGTCTGCAGTATGGGTTGAACAAAGCTCAGCTTACACAAAGCCTGTCTGGTCAATGACTGCACTGCATTTATACAATTCTCTTAGTGTCTGTGGTGAACATGCAGAATAACGCTCCAAGAAGCTATCCATATCATCCTCTAATAACCACACCAGGGACTCACCTGGTCGGCACTAAATGGTGGCAAAAATTCATCCCTGCATTTGGGGGTACCAGATGAAACCAACTCCGCACAAACCTCAATCAATGGCTGCACCTCAGAGAACTCTGTGCCCTGATCTACTAGAACATGAGCGATCCGTATACATTCTAGCAGTTGATCCCGGGGATACTCCTTCAGAGTTTGATAAGCATACTCCCTGTCATCAAACACTAGCAGATATAAATACACAACCCACCCAGATCCATCCTTCCCAGCAACAAGCCAAGATGGCTTCCCTGTGCAGCCACTTCTGGTCAGGATTGGCCTTGGTGTAATGTCAGGGCTCCAGGGTGTGACCAGAGGTGTGTGACTGACGCAGGGAAACGCAGGCTTCAGATATAAACGCAGTGCAATACTAAAAATACATAATACAGTGCAAACAAACCAAACCAACCACCCACCCAACAGATAACAGTACATACAATGCAAGCGTCGTCAGGCAGGCCAGGTCAATATCAATCGGGCAGGTAGGTACAGGGGGAGCAAGCGGAGAATGGTCGGGGGTCACAGGCCAGGTTCAGCAGGTAGCGGGCAGCGTGGTACAGAGGGTCAGCAGAGGGATGGTCAGGGTCACAAGCCAGGGATCAGAACAGGAGAAGTCAGCAGAGGTCAGAATCAAGCAGGGTCAGCGACAGGAACAGGAACAGGAACAGGAACGCAGGCTTACAAGATACAGGGCCCAGGAAAAACACACACCAAGGCAGAGTCCTGCAGGTCTGGCCATCCCTTAAATACACCAGTGTAAACAGTTTCAGGTGTTTAGCTGGCTGCAAGGTTGAGTCTCTGATTGCTGGGAGCACCCGCTGGCCAGCCCTGGTACTGCAGCTCATAAGGCAGGTGAGTCCCACCATTGCTGGCCAGTCCATTCCTGACATTAGCTCAGGACTTGAAATTTTGAGCCCTGCTCTATCCTACACTCCCTCACTCACATCTTCAATCTCTCTCTTCTGTAATCTTCACCAACTCTTTAAAACATGCACTTGTCACCCCCGTACTTAAAAAAGGCACCCTCACTAGACTCCACCAATCTTAATAACCTAAGATCCATCTCTTTACTCCCCCTTTTCCTCCAAACTCCTCGAACACCTGGTCTACAACCGACTGAGCGATCTTCTCACTGAAAGTAACCTTCTTGATCCCCTTTAGTCTGGATTTTGCCCTCAGCATGCCACGGAAGCTACTCACCTTAAACTCACAAACGACCTACTAACAGCTAAATCCAATGGGCACTATCCTGTACTCCTACTCCTGGACCTCTCTCTGCTGCCTTCGGCACAGTGGACCACCCCCTCCTCCTCATAAAACTCTACTCCTTTGGTCTTCACGACTGTACTCTTCACTGGTTCTCATCCTACCTATCCCAAGGCAGCTTAGATGAGCACTGATATGTGGCATTGATCTGGGCACTGATGGGCACTGGCAGGTGGCACTGCTGGGGCTACACTGATCATCAGTGCCCTGATGATCAGTGTACATGTCCCCTCTGACTAATGCCGATTACCAGCTCTCCTCTCCTCTGTCAGAGAAACTCTGATAACCAGCATTTCCCTATTAACATTCAATCAGCTGTGATTGGACACAGCTGATCACATGACTGAGCCGACATCTTCGGCTCTTTCCGTTGATTCGCCTATGTCCGAGGGACTCAGCGCTCCACCGATCACCGCGCTGCGCACTCGCGGTTAGAATGGGACGATGTCATATGACGTCCTCCCAGAACGAGAGAACCGCCTTGCGCCCATCATTTCCTTATATGGCGGGCGAGAGACGGTTACGGAACGCCTCCAGAAATGTCATGCAATTGAATTACTGATTTAAGTCTGAACTAAGAAACAAGTCAGATTTTAGGCATCCCCTGCAATAGGAATTTCAGTGTCAGTGAGATAATTTAAATAGAATACTTCTGAAGAGATGCAGACACTGCAACGTACCTCACTGAGCATGTACCGGGTGATTATAATGAAGCAGACCCCACATTCAGGATCAGTCCGCACAGGACATGGGGACACAAACAGCTATTTATTCACAGTAGGAATCTGTTACAAAATGATGTATCCCTGCAGTGTACAGAGATCACCCCCCGAGGGGAGAATTATTTCCCCCAACAAAAGTGCAGTTACTCTTTAAAGTTTCATTTACTATAAAAAAAATCTAAAAAGAGTTCATAAAGAATATACATTTTTGTTGAAGATTTTTTTTGAGCTCTATTTTTTGGACTGAGAACAATTTATATAATTTTTTTATATATCTTTGGGACTTTATTTGGACACATTGTTTATTGTTTACACATTAGTCATTTATTTGCGATGTGGAGAGTTTATATTTATAATTGATTGTTTTTTTTTCTTTTATGAACAGCAGCATTTACATTTTGATGGCATTTTTGATTTTTCTGTGGGGCAAGGTTTTTATATTTTTATAAACAATACATAGAATGTTAAGGAATTCCTGGCATCCTTCCATCATGATTTCTCCTCCAATATAAGGATCCCCCTGCAGTCGTGGAGGGAAGAGGGAATCTCATTGGCTGGCAGACAATGGCGGTCCTGTCTCCATCTCCCTCCTCTTGTCTCCGTATTTCCAGCAGCATCAATACATCATGTTTACCACGCCTGTGATCCCGTCCTTATGGCGGCTCTTTTATTTGCAAATCTTTCGACTGTGATAAATGTTATTGTCATTCTATAATCCGCTCTAATAAAGCTGGGAAAAATATATAGATGACAGCAGTTTACATGGCGCCCTTTGCTTTGTCTCTCCGCGGATTTGCATTTCCATGAATTTTAAGCAGCTGAATTTATTTTTGTTCGGAGAGCAAAGGGATGGCTGACTTCTGATTGTTACGTGGGGCCTGATCCGGAGAGTGGGGGTCCGGAGGAAGGTGTGGGGCCTGATCCGGAGAGTGGGGGTCCGGAGGAAGGCGTGGGGCCTGATCCGGAGAGTGGGGATCAGGGGGAAGGCGTGGGCCTGATCCGGAGGGTGGGGATCCAGGGGGAAGGTGTGGGGCCTGATCCGGAAAGTGAGGGTCCGGGGGAAAGCGTGGGGTCTGATCCAGAAAGTGGGGGTCCGGGGGAAGGCGTGGGGCCTGAATCCGGAGAGTGGGGGTCCGGGGGAAGGCGTGAGGCCTGATCCGGAAAGTGGCAGTCCGGGGGAAGGCGTGGGGCCTGATCTGGAAAGTGGGGTCCGGGGGAAGGCGTGGGTTCTGATCCGGAGAGTGGGGGTAGGGGGGAAGGCGTGGGGCCTGATCCGGAGAGAGGGGGTTCGGGGGAAGGCGTGGGGCCTGATCCGGAAAGCGGGGGTCCAGGGGAAGGCGTGGGGCCTGATCCAGAGAGTGGGGGCCCAGGGGAAGGCGTGGGGCCTGATCCGGAGAGAGGGGGTCGGGGGGAAGGCGTGGGGCCTGATCCGGAGAGAGGGGGTCCGGGGGAAGGCGTGGGGCCTGATCCGGAGAGTGGGGGTTCGGGGGAAGGCGTGGGGGGCCTGATCTGGAAAGTGGGGTCCGGGGGAAGGCGTGGGGCTGATCCGGAGAGTGGGGGTCCAGGGGGAAGGCGTGGGGCCTGATCCGGAGAGAGGGGGTCGGGGAAAGGCGTG